GTGTTTTGCCAAACAAATTTCTATGGCTGCCGGTGTCCTATCATATAAATTTCTATGGCAACCATAGGTTGTTATAGATTATCGTGAGTTTGCCTATGGCAAATTTACCGAAGGGAGGCTACAATATTCAATATAACTTTGTAAATTGTCTTCAGTTGTTCAATTATTTTTATTTTTATTTAAGAGTTAAAAAGAAACTACAAAAAATTACAAAACATTTGAAAAAAATTCATTTTTCGTTACATTTCCTTTAAAAACGATTTCAATGTTACTGAGACAATGGTTTTTGGAAGCATAACAAAGATTTCCCAGAAGTTGTAAATACTTTTTGAAGTGATTATTCATTGCGTAATCCAGGCCAATAAGCGAAACTCCACTCATTGTTTAAAAGACAGCATTAGTGAGAATTACTATTTGTAATTGATACTACGAAGAAAACCTAACGACTATAAAAATGAATGAAGAGCCACATTTTGTGGAACTATACAACGCAGATCAACTTAAAACGCAACTATTCAGTCTTTGTTTTGATGAAAGTTTCATAGATAAAGAAATTTACAGCGACGTAAATATTCATAAAACATTCATAAATGTTCATAAAATTATATTGTTCGGCAATCAGAAAAGAACTTGGAATTTTAAATCCTTTGTTTTTGTAATTTTGCATCTTATATTATGTAGTCATCATTAATTTTACATGGAGAGTAAATGCATTATTTATGGAGAGTAATATATTATTGGTTTATATATTAGAAATACAATGGTTTAAAAATGCTTAGAAATTAGGTGGATTGATTGAAATATTTATCGAATTCTTAAACTTTTTGGAAAAACAAAAATTTATTATTGCTTCTACGTTTTGAAACATCTGCTATTTCAGCATGAATGTTTTATGACATGCACCATACCTTGAAATTTATTTTAAATAATAAAAACATCAAATTTTGCCATAACTGTGCAGTTTATGCAGTCAATTTTAGATGGAAATCAGCTTCATGCTTTGTTCATTTTTTATACTTCAAATGCTTGTAATAAAAGCGAAGTAATCGAAATATTTATCTAATTTCTAATTCTTAAAACTTTTTTTTATTATTAAATTGATTATAAAAAAACTAAAATATCATTAGAAAAAAATTATATTACTAATTACTTTTTTTATTAATAATAATGGCGTGGAAATAGCGTTGAGGAGGCTAAACAATAATAAATCAGCTGGACCTGATGGCTTAAAAGCCGAACTCTTTAAAATTGACGAANTTTTGTGGATATAGTGAACCAAAAAAGTGAGGAAGTTGGATATGATGAACTTTTTTTCTTTCTTCGACTGCTTTTTTCTTCATTTTTCTGTAATAATTTTAAAATTTTTACTTTGAAATAAATACATATACCGATTTTTAAAACCGTCTATAGAGGGGAATTTAGCGATAAGCTTCTTTTATCTCGATTTTCCCATCCCTTAACAAACCAAGAAGATATTTCCAACCCAGGCAGATGATGTTCCTGTAAGGAGTCAGTGGGATCAATACGCTTTTTCTGTCAGAGGGAATGAGTAATTTATTCATTATCGGTCAAAGTGTTGGACACCATGTGTTGATAAGGCCCTCATTTCAACTCCTTTTTGCTCTCAGTTCAGTTAAAAAAAGCCTGCAAACAAGTGTCTCAAATTTAACTATGGCGAACAATAAACGTAAAATGTTCTCCAGTGATGATAAAATGGGCATAATCAGAAAAATTGAAAATGAATGCAATCAAGCTGATATTTGCAGGGAATATAAACTATACAAATCTGCAGTTTGCAGCATATGAAAAAATAGGCAATTCATTATTTCTACTCATGAAAAAATTTAGATGGCAGAAGAAAGTTATGAAAAGCAGATTACAAAGATGTTGAAGAATTATTACTGAAGTGCTTTAGCATTCAAAGAAGCCGCAATCTTCCAGTATCTAAACAAATGTCGATGAATTTGCTAAGCGATTTTATGAGACTACTTTTATGTGCTCGAATGGCAGGTTAGACAGGTTTGAACAGCGGAATAACAGAAATTCAGGAAAAATCATCCTAGAGTCAGGAAATGTTTCCATATCTGATGTTGAGGATTGCTTATCAGCTAAAGAATACTAATTTTATTTTTGTAAGCGAGACGAGTAATGAAAAATAACACATTTTTCGCTACTACATAATGTTTTTTAGTCATTTATTTAAATAATGTGCAATAAAAGGGAGGAGTTTGGGAACCATTAGTTAAATTGCCTGCGTAACGGATATAGTGAACTCCCGGTTATAGTGAACCAAAATTTCGGTCCCTTGAAGGTTCACTATAGCGGGGTTTGACTGTAATTACTTTTTTTATTAATAATAATATCTTATATTAGTTTTAGAAATATAGAATATTATTATATATATACTCCGGTGTGCAAAACTTAAGCAACGAGTGGTTTTTCGGCCACAGCTCCCCAACAAAGTATAAGATAGCCATGAAATTACAGAATAATATGCACGTAATTCAGTAGAAAGATTATTTGTATGCAAATTTTAGAAATAAAACGTCGTAAGTGATGTAAGTGTACGTAAACCTTGTGGGTCGGCGCGCGCAGGCCAAAGCTGTGATAAAAGGATGAAGAGCACCGTAGTTAAAGACATTCGCTGCAAGTGCAAGTGATTTGTTTTGTGAAACATGTCTTCAAGAAATCATTTAGACGACTTTACTCGAGGAAGAATGATTGGGAAGCTTGAGGAGGGGCGTAGTGTGACCAGTGTCGCCGAAGAGTTCGGGATCAACAAAAGTGTTGTTTCTCGTGCTTGGAATGCCTTTAAAACTACTGGTACAGCTGTTCGGAAGGTTGGTGGTGGCCGTCCAAGGAAAACAACACCAAGAGATGACCGTTACATTGTCCTCCAGGCGAAAAGAAACCGTTTTCAGTCAGCGAGCGCCATATCTCAGCAACTGTGCACAGCCACAGGACGACAAGTATCAAGATTTACAGTGGCCAGACGCCTCCACAAAGGTGGCTTATTTGCTAGACGTCCTGAACGCTGCATACCTTTAAAAGTTAGCCATCGGCGGCACCGTTTAGAGTGGTGCAGAGAACACGAAACCTGGACACCTCATCAATGGAGTCGCGTCCTCTTCACAGATGAGAGTCGTTTTAGTGCTACAAGCGATTCTCAACGTCAGTTGATCTGGAGAGAGGTTGGAGCTCGATTTCATCCCAATAACATCGCGGAAAGAGATCGTTACGGTGGTCCTGGAGTTGTCGTCTGGGGTGGCATTATGTTGAACGGGCGGACTGAGCTTCAGATCTTCGACCGAGGTTCTGTAACTGGAGACCGCTACTGCAATGAGGTAATCCTACCCCATGTGCGTCTGTTCCGAGGGGCCATTGGACCAGACTTCATTTTTATGGATGACAATGCCCGGCCACACCGTACTGCTGATGTTCAAGAGCTACTGGAAAGTGGAGATATCACACGAATGAATTGGCCAGCTTACTCTCCAGATCTAAATCCCATAGAGCATGTGTGGGATGCATTAGGGAGACGTCTTGCGACACGACAGTATCCTCCTGGTAACACCCATCAGCTGAAAGATGCGTTAAAGGAGGAATGGAGACGTTTACCCCAAGAACTCCTGGATAATCTGGTGCTTAGCATGGAGAGACGATGCCAAGCAACAATTACAGTAAGGGGAGGGCATATCCCATACTAGGGAACATCTGCCAGTTATACTTACGCTTCTTCAGGCAATCATGTGTAACGCCACTATATGTCAAATAAAGCCTTTTTATGTTCCATACCCTACTTTAAGCTTTATATTCATTTCTGCGCCATTATTATTTTACCATCGTTTAAGTACAAAATGATGTACATCATATTCAAATTTCATGTCAATCGGATGATTTCTTGTAAAAAACGCACTTGTTGCTTAAGTTTTGCACACCAGTGTATATAAATATGTATATGTTAAGGCAGATCTAGGTTAATCGATGAAAACCGAACGAAGCATTTTTGACTAAAACTGGTGCTGTCATTTATTAAAAATCACAAGAAACTAGTTGCAGACAATCTCCATGTAGAAATAATGAATAAAAAATTATTCATGATGAACTCTCATTGGCGATATTGTAATGGTCAAAAACGGTAAAAACTTATTTGTCATCCAGCAATGAGAACTAGTTAAAATGTTAAGCATTTCAGCAAGTCGGAAAGCGATCAAAATTTCGATACATGATAAATTCTCGTCGGCGATTAATTGTGTTTCTAGTGGTCAAGAAGGGATTCAAATTGGTATGGTCATTAATTTTTTTTTAACTTTTAATTTTCTCTCTGTTCCTACCAACAATCAATCAAACAGATTTTCAGGTTAATTCCGACATTTAGTAGTGATTTGTTAGATTTCTATAGCGATTATGTGCTTAAAAAATAAATTACAACCACAATTGTGTGCGGAATTATTTCCCCATTTTAGACAGAGATTCTAAAAATACACATTAAGGACAGTAGTTATAGAAAACCCTGAATGCTTTCCGTTTTTATTTTCTCATCATCGAATTTTTTTTTCTAGAATACCTGCCATTATAAATTTTAATTCCCCAAGTTAATCAGATAGGGGATAAAGAAAGAATTCTCGGGATACATTATTGCAACAGCAATGTAAATAATAATTTATAAGTAAAAAAAAGAAATATGAAAATAAACTGAATTATTTAATAGAAAAATAAGTAGACTATATTTTTAAATACATTTACATATTTTATTTTTCTTGAAAAATGAAAATGGACCACTCATTAAATGAAGTTATAATTTTCTATGAAATGCATTCGTCATGCTACCCTTTTTTTCCTAATTAACTTCCAGTTAACAATGAACGATCTTAAATATTTTGTTGTTATTTAATGCATTTTCGAATTTAAGCATACTTTATGTGACCTTGAGAGAGCTTGGCGTATTTTTCTAAGCGTAATAATTTAACTCATAATCACTGGCGTTTTTTTTTTGGTTGAAAAGAATGGAAAGATGATGAATATATAAAATCATCCACTCGTCTCATTTCTTTCTATTTCCACTAATAGAAAAAAAATGAAAATGACGACTATTTTGTGCAGTTTTATTCTCTTGGGGATTGTTTCAACCACTGTTACAGCTGCGTAAGTTAATATAAATTGCTATGTTTAAAAATACCTATTTATATGTTAATCAAAAACATTTGAATAATTATTATTATTAGCTGTGTTTTAATGCTTTTGTATGAAGTTTCTCCGCGACTATTGGAGGTTTTTTCTTCAATGTTCGTTTCAATTTTTGTGGTGCAGTTAATTTACAGTGTTTCCTAATTTGGCTAGTTTCCAACTGTTATATGGACAATATTTTTTTCCGACAAAGCTTAACAAAATAATCTATTATTTGTTGTTCGACCTTTCTGTAAAAGTTTCCTATGTTTCAGAGAGAAACAATATGACTTTTTCAATTTTTTATTGGCAGAATTGTTTCGATTTCTTATTAACCCTTTGAACTACTATAAAATTGTTACATGCTTTTAGCACTAAATCATTTCAAATATTTAATAAAGTATTTTATATAATTTTTAAATTTCTTACAATAATTAGGTGGTTACCAGTTATTAAGGTATGAGAATTTTTTTTTTTGCAGTGGTGGCTGTTCACAGCACCTCAGAGGCAAAGGGCTATAAAAAATATATTTATTATGTTCACAGATTCCTGAAAAACACTTCTAGAAAAAATCATCCACAAAATAAGATTTTTTATGCTTTTTGACAAGGTGAAATTAACCCCTTAATGCACAGATTTTTTGAAAAAAAACCGGCCCCCCCAAAAAAAATTAATTATCTTTATGTAAAAAAACACACTTTAAAACATTGTCTTTTCTTTTGGTGGACAATTTTGATGTACTGAGCTTTAAAATAAAAGGTTATATTCACAGATGACAACTGCTCCGGCCACGCCAAAATAATTTTTAAAAAATACGGTAAGTAACTACAGAGTAAATTTTGCCAATAGTAGACTATTTTTGCTAGCATTGGCATAGCATTCCTAGTCCTAGTGTTTTAATTTTATTGGGCACCTGGGTCGCGAAGCGATCCCTATCCCATTCATCTGGAATTTTTACACTGTTTTGGTTGACCATTGAGGTAAGCAGGAAGTGGAGTTGCTTTTGTGAATGTTTCAAGCACTTTGCTTGAATAACTAATAAGGAATCAAAAAATTAAATGAGCAGCTTGCTCTATAGTTGTGTTTATTTGATTTTGGAGTTGTTCAGAATTGTATCAGCATGAGGAAACGTTATTTTCAGAAAGGTTGATGAAATTATTTGTTTTGATAGTTATGATATGAGGCGTCGGAGGTGAAATGTGCAGCTATTGGTCTGTAGTTTTTATCTTTGATATAATTTTCAAATTTAAAGATTTCATTAAAATTTGCTGTTTTGCATTCTATGGCTTTATCGAAAAAATCTGCGTTTAGCTTGTATATATGCTGTGATAGAGTTGGTATTTTGAGATATGTATGTATATTGGTATTCCGGATGAATCATCTTGCACAGGTTATTTTTCTAAGGATCTTGTTTTGGAATTGGTTTAATTTCTTCAGTAGATGTTGAGGTATCGTTGTCCAGGCAGGTGAGGCATAGGTAAGTATTGGGCGGATCATTGCTGTATATAGTAACTTCTTTAGTTTAAGTGACATATTCTGATTATATATTAATAGTTGTATGGCTATTATTGCTTTATCTATTGTGCTTTTGATATGATCATTCCAAGTGAGTTTGCTATTGATTATAAGGTCAAGATAATTTGCTTTTTTAACTATTAGTATTGGTATATTGAAAATTTTTGGTTGAAGTTGTGGAAGTATTTTAATTCTTCTTTTTGACTATACTATGAAAAAGTGTTTAACATATAATCTTACGGAGTATTTAGAAATAGTGGTAGATAACAATCTAATAAATTGAATTTATTAAACAAAGAATCACAATTAATAAACTACTACTCGAAACTATTTATTCTTTGTCCGGAGCAAGTTTTTGCATCGACCTAACAGTAGCAATTAGGTCCGTTCGCTCGTATAATGGCTGCCATTTGCGTTTGAACCCGTTTGGTTGAAGCATTTATCGCAAGTAGGGGTCTCGCAAAGCTTAATTCTACTGTCGGCCGAAAGGTTCCTTCGGGTTTAATTAGTAGCGGAGTCTGGTGATGCCAATTGCCTCATTGAAATAAGTAATCATATAAACAGCGAGATCTCTACTTCAAGCTAAAGTACAGCAGACTACTTCATTGTTGACCATTCTCAACTCCTTTTCCTGGCACATTCACATGTTTTTCGACACCCACAGTTCATTTTTTTCTCACTACTCCAATTTGAACTTTTCCCCTTAATGTAATGTTTTTCCACATATGCATCTTCTACTTAATGATCAATGGGAAAAGGGCCAATTTTGGCCTCAGGTGCCCAGCTAGACCAGGCAGAACAGAGCCTCGAGCTGGAGTATTATTCTGGCCCTTGCAAATACTATTAATTTTCTAATCTAGTTTAATCTCAATTAAGTTTAATTTCCTATCGATTTCATCATATGTTCAACCGACTGGTTTCTCACTCACGACTTTAATATTTGGTGCCAGGCAACCCCTCTTAGCCCCAATTCTACTCCCACCTCACACATTCCCTCATTATATGTCTAAAAAGTTCAACGAATCAGTAAATGACGCTTCGCCGCAGCGCACTGAGATTTAAGCTTTTCAGTTACAGTAGATTACGTTTAAAAAAAAAAGTTCAGAAGTAGCGCAGATTTCTGCTAATAAAAATCTCTCAGAATGTAAGCAAGTGGAACTCCCTGAAATAAGAAAATGCGGCTATTAGCCACAGTTTATTGCTATTTGTAATAAATTGATAAAGCAGAGAAATTTCTCTCAATGCATTAATCGTAGCAACCAATTTATACATTTAATCAAAGTAATTTTTTAAATCATAATTTGTATTATTTATTTTTTTAATAATTCATTTAATTTTGTTTAATAAATTCGATTTTAAAAAATTCTACCACTCACTATCATTTGCCATCACCGCCTATCATATGGAGCAGGTCATTGGTGAATTGAAAAAAACAGGTTCTTTGCTAACTACTGGCGTCATTTGTTAGGCTTATTGCACTGAGCCTTATAGGCCTCACTGCAGTGAGACGTCGGCATTTTATAATGATTCGCCTACGACGTATGTATAAGCATTTGATAGTTCTGCATTAACAGTCTTACTGGGTAAAAACTTTTAATCAAAAAATTAGTAAACAAAAGCTAAAAGAATTGTGGTCATCATATACACATTTACAATTTGCTTTAAATATATATATGCGTGTGTGTGTGTAAATGAATGTGAAATTGTAAGCATGACGTCAAAATTCACAAAGAAGAGAAATTTTTCAGAGATTTATACATTTGTTACTTAGTATTATTTCATATGGGATAGGGGTGCCTTAGATTTCCCCTACAAGTGCTAATAAGATTAATAATATTTTTATTAGTAAATTCAATAACTTTGTTTACCTATAAAAAATATTTATTTACAGGCCCCAGTTACCTGGCGGCGTTTTCCAGTTTCCGATCACGTTCGCCCCTCAATTCCCGGACGCATGGTACCATGGGTAAGTGAAATTTAACTAGTAAAAATATTCAAATTGAAATATTTGTAAATTCTTTCAAACATTTACTGTAATAATCTTTGTTGTAACAATGAATATTCTTGTCATGAATTTGAACATTTATAGAATAGATGCATTACAATCGCTTCACTCGCCTAATCCCGTAATGGCATCTCATTCATCAGTGATTTCTTTTTTCTTAAACGTCATTAAGTCTCACAAAACTTAAAAAATTTTGTTTTCGAAATATGCAATTATTAGTTTTATGTTCGTACATTTTACTAATATGATACTCGTAATAAAATGGACGTTCACTTAGATTTTAAAAATAACCTAAGGAATACAGATCAATTAATAGAAATAAATTAGAAGTAATTTTAACTGTTGAAGAGAATTATAACTATCAAAATAGGGGAAAAGTTTTTATCGTTATTATTTATTTTCAAAAATTTCACTATGAATGTTTTTAGATTTGTATCTGGTAACATGTACCTTCTCTTTTGCTACTTTTTTATTAACATCTACTCGAGCATGAGCTTATAAAATAAAAATAAATAAAGGTCTCGTGAGATAAACAGAAATTTCCTACAACGATGGATACATTGTCAATATTTAAAGCATTATAAACTTAAACAAAATCACGAAGAAGCACTGATATGCAATAACTTTCGAACAAATTGGTTCGTTAAATTCACAAATATAGATGGCGCTTTTTTGCAACTGCATATGAGCAGGCTGCAGATCGACCTGCATGGTAATTTTTCTACAAGTTTAAAAATTCTTGAACTAATCGAAACTTCAATTTTTTATTTTGTCGTACTCCTTTGCACTTTTTTCTAGATATTCGTAATTTAAAGTTCCTAAGTATTATAGATTGTGTGTGCGCAGCAAAACGAAATGTAAAGTTAAAAAAAATGCCTCTTTCAGCTCGCCAAATTTCAACCCCATAGTTGCATTCTTACGGCATGTAGAGCGGCCGTTATGGTATTTTTACCTACAAGCTTAACTGTTAATATTTATTGAATCAATTAAGAAATGTATTTTTACTCCATTGTATTCTGTGTACATTTTCCTACACGCGTATGTTTTTATGTCTTATAGTTATTACGCATCGAAACAAAATGTAATGTTAAGTTGAACATCCAAGATATCACTATTATTTTTAAACTGGTCAATATTTTTTTACCCAAATAAAATTGAACAACGTTTACAATAATGCTGTATTCAGTAATTGTTGCCTGGCATAATATTCAAGATATTGCCATGCATGATACATCTATATAAGGGCCTAAGGATTTCAAATGTGTTGGCTAATTAACTTGTCAGTTAATTAGCCAGATATCAAAAGTATTCGCCAGTCTTTGAAAGTCATCGCGATATGCAAATTACAATATTTTTTTATAATTAATTTTTTCTCTCTCCATAGAACACTATTTTACGGTTGTTTGTTTCGGGCTTATATTATTTGGACCCAATTCTAATGGGTTATGCTGCGCATTTACCGATAATTACATTAATCGAATAAATAATACTGATTTGTTTAGAAAAATTTCATTTTCACGTAATTTTCAGGATCGAGTGAAATATATTTTTTTCTTTCCGGTGGAAAAAAATCATTCACCAAAACACAATTTTATTTGCTAAATTTACGATTTTATGCATTTGGCGAGTGTTTAGTGCGAGCCCTGCAGTATGTATTATCGTAACCGATTACTTATGTAATTCAGAACCTGGCGTTGCTTTATGGCTCCAATAACCGATAAATACAGATTTTTATAATAAAATTTATGATACTTTCATTTAAAGGATAATATAAAGTTTGAGAAATAAAAATTCGTGTTTAAAAAGATGTTAATTAATGTATATTATTTTGGCGAGATAGGTTGCGTGGTTTTTAACTAGCATTTTAAATAGATCCATCATTAAAGAGAAAAGAGCCGAATTTAAGCTTAACCTTAATAAAAATTTTAACAACACAATCAAAAATATCCAGGATTATAATCAAAGATGTAGAACATAAGGAAAAGAACAAGTTTTTGCAATCGTAATGTATGCATTTCATCGATTTGATTTCAGTTCAGTACGCTAAACATAGAAGTTTACAGTTTCGTGTAATGAGAGTAGCTATGTCAACTTTCTTATATCAAAAAGTACCCCCAAGATTGAATCGAGTTACCATGTTTTATATACTTGTGAATTGATGTTTAATATTCATAGTAGTAGTCACGCCACAATACTCCCCCACCAACATTTTATTGGGAATAGAATTCGATGAACACGGATACAATTAGTTGTTGCATTTTCGGAAAATCTGCATTAACACCTGATTTTGAGTGTTTGTGGTGAGATCTGTATTAAGTTTACTGTTACGCATGTGGTCTCTTTTTTGTTGCTATTAGCAGTCTAGCGTAAATCATCATACTCATATGTGTTGGTTATCTTAGCGTCAGCCCCGCTAGGGGCTCTAACTAATTCATCTGAGTGGAAATAAATAATAAATCGCCGAGGCGCAACTGAAAGGTGAAAGTTGGGGTTCAGTATCTTTTACTGAGAGAAAATTAAAATGAAGTATTGTGATTGAACAAACAAGTTTAAGAGAGAGAAGAGGTTTTGTGGCAGACTGCCTCGCCTCCCTTCGAGGTATTACCCCCGAGCTTCTCAGGTGCACAGTAGCCACATAGCCTTAGAGAAAGGATAGCGTAAATCATACCTGCCAACTCTTCCGGAAGATTTTATTTTCATATTTAAAGTGGTAGTAAATATATACTATTTTTTCTTTAATAAACTTCATTTTTAAATGATTTTGATCACCACTATTCTTACAAAAATTAAGCACATATATTAATATGCGTTACTATCATGGTTGTCAACTTAAGTTTTCTCAAATACAACGTATTTGTTTGCTTAAAATTGAAGTTTTAATTCCATTTTAATACCACTGGGAAAAATGATAATGGAAGGGATTAAAAGTTGGCAGGTATGGCAATGAGTATACGGAACAATAGCACAAGAAAAATGACGCAGTCTCATAAAGGAAGCCAACATGCTCAATTCGGACCATTCATCGAAGTGAATATTAGCATTAAGTAAGTCGAGATCACATCACAATCTGGTCTTCCAGATAACGAAGGAAGTTATAGCCTTTAACAACTTTTATCCATTGATAAGTTGTAAGTTTGAATGTTTTGTATACAAGTAAATTGATGTTTAAAAATCGAAGTGGTAGATACGTTACAATGTAACTTTGGTATTTGAACCTAGTACATATTGATTACACCACATTGTTAACAGTAGGTAATAAAAAGTTTCAGTATTTGAGTAAAAAAATTTAACTCTTGAAATTAAAATGTCGTTTGAAGAAAAAGCTTATTTATATTTAAAATTACCACTGATGGTTAAAACTATTTCCACAACTTTTCTTAATTTTTATTTCCAGACCAAATGTGTGTCAAGATGTAAAGGAATTGCCAGTCCCTGAACAGGAGGTACAAATGATTTCTGATCCGGGTATTGAGACGATAAGTAAAAGCGAGTCTTGCAAAGGCGACGATAACGTTCATGTCTGCCAAACACGGTATGTTCGTATTTTCTTCACTAAGTCTTTATAATCTGCAACTTATGTTCTTGTTTGTGCTCAATGCTAAAAGTATTTTCAAATCCAGCTGATTACCTCCAAAACTGCCCGTAAAAAGGATTTCGAATGTAATAAGTAGGTTGATCTAGGTAAAATATTAAACAATTATAATACATATCCTGCATAATTCTAATCGGTACTGGAAAGTATGAAGCTGTGATGACAGGTATATCCTTCAACATGTGAGTTTTGTGTGAAATACATTTATCAGTGTCATTGAACTTAAGCCGAAAATTTTAATAATTCTTATTAAACCTGTATCAGGCTTTTAGAGCATGACCATTTCTCGATCTGACAGTTACTATACTATTTAAACTACTTTAATGGAGTGGGGGCAAAAAAAATTTTAAATTATTTATTTAAATATTAATACATGATGTTTGCTATTACTGGAAAAAATATTTTCTGAATATAGTTGGATGGTATGGTTACAGTAAAGAATATACATAGGAAAAGAAGTTCAGCTTCCAATGATGTAATGTAAACCAGTCCTCCAATGTTAGGTGCGGTCCGTGTGTATAAAGGAAAAAGCAACATTTAAGGGCACGACAGCAGAGGTTCCTGAAAAGGGTTTGTACCCTCCTCTTCTTCTTACCAATACTGGGGTTGGGGTGAAGAAGATCGTTGGTTTGTTCTATATTTTTTCACTATTAATAAACAGTATTGTACTATTAAGATATTTCTTTGAAAATATATTTATATCATTCATGTTAATCAAATCTGCAAACACATTTAGCCATAGAAAGAAAGAATAAAATGGCGGTGGGCGAGAAACAGCGTACCCAAACATGCATGTAAAGTTGTTCAATAATCGGTTAACGGGTGACATACTTCCTGACTGTCACTAATGCTCATGAGCAGGATCTTAGTTCAAATGACTCTCTGTTAAATCTGAGTATGTTGCTCATCCAGTAAGTTGTTTTTCTGGAATAGAATACCGAACCGGACTGTTTCCCGCTTTAGTTGCGTTTTCAAAGATATGGACTTCCTTCTGTATTCTTCGGTTACAGCAGTGTTTCCCAAACTTATGACTTTTGCGTACCCTTTTTAAATTTTTCGTAGAGCTGTGTACCACTAATAAAGAAATGAATGTATTTTTTCAAAATATGTCTATTTTCACTATAAAAAAATTGCACAAAAGTTAAGAATCACAGCTGGCTCTAGCACCGCTAATTATTAATTGTTAAGTCAGCAAAAAATAGCCAATAGAAAAATACGTAATCGTAAATTTTCATGGCTAGCTTTTTTTTTATATAAAATTTGTTTGAAATTTTTAAAATTTTTTTTTGTTTTGTTTGTTGCAAGATATTTCGCATAAGAACGCGTACCCCCTCTAAACTGTTCCCGTACCCCTGGGGGTACGCGTACCACACTTTGGGAAACACTGAGTTACAGGATAATGCAAGAGAGAATGTAATGGGTTATGGTAATGGGTTAAAGGCAATACATACATTGCCAACATTGTCATATGTTCAATACATTGAACATATTCCACTGCTTGAGTCTTTTTCTGTGTCTATCGATATTTAAATGCTGATGGATATACTTCACAGAATAATTTAATAAAAACTACTCCTTCTGTAGGAACTAAGAATTTGCTATCCTCATATTTAAAGGTGGTTTCGTTTCCTATTATTCCAGTCTCTTGCGTCTTTTCAAATCTTGCAGATAATTTTTCTCAAACTGCCTATTCTAAAAAGAAAAAGAAAGCATAAGAAACTAAGTCACCCTGATTCACCAGGTTCATCTACTATCACGCTCCGAATTTCGATCTGCCAAGCGTGTGGATACCTTCAATATAAATGCAATAAACACTCTCATTTTTACATATGTTATTTTTATGACCTTTTTTATTTGACTTCTAGAATCGATGAACTGGTCAATGGCCTTTGGCGCTAAGATGCCGAAATTTTAGCCATTTTCTGTGTCCATATATTCATCCATAATTTATATAAAAATTTGTGATAATTATATGCTTTTTGTATATTAAAAGGTTTTTTTTTGTGTGTTCACTGTCCTTCTAAATGTTGCTATCACCAAGGAATAATATTTTTCAAAATATCCTTGCAAGTCTACAGCTAAAATTTTGACATTTCACTTTCTGTTTCTACAGGACATCAACATCAGAAGCGAAAAGATGAAATAAAATAAATTTTCTTTTATAGGATAACAACAAATGGTCAATCCACTCTGACTGAAACTACGTACAAATGTTGTGTTGGTTTCGTGCACCCGAATGGAGGAAGTTATTGTATCCAAGCATAGACAATGTTCTATAAGATCCAACAAAAGGTTTGTATTATACAATAACTGAGATGCCAACTTGCTCTGGAAAACGGATAAATATTTTCAAGTGGTAGTCTTTTAATGTACGATTCTTGATTTAATAAATTCGATTTATAGGGTTTTTACTAACCTCTACGATTCAAAGGCTTATTTGATACGCCATTTTCTTACAGTTAAACCTTACCACAATGCCTGCTAACCTCAACGAAACCAAACAAAATGAAAAATACCACACGATGGATTGGATAGGGGCCGCTTCCCAGATCCAAAAACAAGACAAGACAGCTAAACCGTGTTGAGCATATTGAATAGTTGCATAATTGAGACTGAAAATCTGCGAATTTTAGTTTGTTGTTCTTTACCTTTTTTAAAAATATTTTGTCGAATCTGGTGTAGTTAGCATCTCTGTAATGACATTAATTTTTCTCCCTATATTTATGCCATGTGACAAGGAAACGTACCAGTTCTTTTTTCCTTTCAAAATACTGGTAGGACAAATTTGTCATTCTTAATTTGCATCTTACAGAACCAAGGCCGAAAGTAAGACAGAGAAGAGAAAAACTGGTAGTGAAATCATTTCGTTTTCAGCTGGTATAAAATACAGCCGAATAAAATTCAAAATTTTATTAAAAAAGATTAAAATAAGCAACTTTTTGTATTCTATTTTTTCAGTTTACTATTGAAAGAGAATACGAAAAATGTTTTTCCTTCATGAATAATTTCAATTGTAAGTCAAAGTGGTCGTTTCGATTGATTAATTAAAGAGATTATAAATAAATAAAAGTGAATTGAGTCCTACCACTTTTTACATTCTTAGTCGGCCGTGGCATTCCTGAAAACAGGGTTAAAAGTAAGAGGGAAAGAATTGTGCGAAAAATCATTCCATTATATCTAGTTTTTGAGGAGATTAAAATATGCATACCTGCCAACTTTTACGCATTTGGCGTAAAATTTTATTTTCATATTTAAAGTGGTAGTAAATATATACTATATTTTCTTTTAAAAACTTAATTTTTAAATGATTTTCGATAACCACTATTCTAAAAAAAATTAAGCATATATATAAATAAGCGTTACTATCATGGCTGTCAGCTGATGTTTTATCAAATACAACATATTTATTTTGCTTACAATTGAAATTTTAATTCCATTTTACTACCACTTGGAAAAATCATAATGGGAGTGATTAAAAGTTGGCAGGTATGAATATGCATTATTACCAAGTGTTTTTTGTGTGTGTGTGTGTGTGTATGTGTTCTAGCATATTTATAGTCGACTGTTTTTCTTCTTCTAAGAAGCAGTAAAATTATAGTACAAGCATAGTTAATTAACTAAGAATAGCCATTTTACATAAAACTACTCACAAAAAAAAACAGAAATTAAAAAGTACCAGGTTTTTTCCCTATTTTCCGTCTTTTACTTTCAATCATGGAGTAAAATAAGTTCTAGCATTGGATACCTGCAAGTGACGTAGTGTGGGTACATCGATCCTGATTGGTTGTTGAAACGTAGCATTTGTTTACGTTAGCAACCGTTCTTACCATTCTATTTCGAGTAAGCCGTGCCCGTCAAGTAACAACTCTCTTAAGTAACACATCCTATATTCTTTCACAAAGATTCTTTGAAAAAAAAAGTTCAATTTCTTCATTATATATTTACGCAAATACACAAACTTATTTTAAATTGAAGTTTCCAGGTATACAAAACAAAAATATATTAAGGTTACAAGAAAATACATAAACAAACAATAAATCTACCATAATAGTCACCATTTATTACAGGATGGTCTTCGGCAGGATTGATTCGAACTCCGTAAAAAAGTAATACATTAAAGCATTAACATAGCTACCACTAAAATAAATCTTTTCAAAAAGCGTTGAAAGTTGGCAGGCCTGATTTAGGTATAAAGTTTGTACTTATTTTCCATATTTATTAAGGTTAAGCCATAAGTTCAAGGAAACTTTGAACTATTTATATATAAAACTTCTAGTTAAATTTCGGTAGTTACAATTGCATTTTTATTATTTATTCTTGCAAACAAGTTTATAAATTAACATATTTAAAACAAATGCTGTGGAGTTGGTAGTTAGAATGTTCGACTCCGGACTTTTACTGGAGCTTGACTCCAACCTAAAATCATTGTGAAAAATGTCATCGAAATTTAGTAAAAGAGGCAAAATTGGAACTTCTAAAAGTAGTTTTATGTTGTTTCGCAAAGATTTTATTGTTGAGGTATTATTTAATTTTTAAGCTCATACACAATTTTCGAAACTTTCATAAATAACATTTTTTTCACTTTTATCTCTTTTTTAGGTACTTAATGACCTACATAAAGAAAATTTATAGAAGTTCCTAGAAGACCAATGATGTTATGTATTTCCTATATTAAATAAAGAGTACCTTTAAGAAATGGTGTTAGAATATTTATGTATTGTAGTTATATTTGATCGTAACACCACAACTGCCAAGTCGTTTGACAGTTTTTAATTTTATTTCTTTAAAATATAAATTATGCACTGTTCTAGGAGGGTTTTTTTTATGACGAGTATTTGGTGTTCTCCATATAAAAGTTCGACGTGAATCAGACAGCTAGCTTAACCTGATCTTTCATTGGTAACCAACTCACAATCCCATTAGGATGATGCCTACATTGCATGTTTTTGCTCTGGGCTAATAACTGGCAATAGTGAGCTGAACACATTTGTTAGGCCTGGGAGCATATGGACCAATACTTTCCAAACGTCTGCGTACGGTTTACTTTGAGACAGTGGTAACCGTGATTGCAGACAGCTGACGATGCCGGTCGGATGCTGCGTCATGTCTGTTTTTAGCAGTTACTGCCAAATACCGTCTACCTAGAACGTCTACTGACATTTCCATCATTTTTGAATCTTTGCTAAAGCCTAGAGATGACACGATGAGCAATTCCAATTTTCTCGATACAGTGGCATACATTTAGTGCGCCCCCTGCAACACAAATTTTATAAAATTATAATATGAAACTTAACGCAAATTTTATAAAATTATAATATGAAACTTAGCACAAATTTTANCTTTAAGAAATGGTGTTTGAATATTTATGTATTGTAGTTATATTTGATCGTAACACCACAACTGCCAAGTCATTTGACAGTTTTTAATTTTATTTCTTTAAAATATAAATTATGCACTGTTCTAGGAGTTTTTTTTATGACGAGTATTTGGTGAGTATGGTGAGTTTGGTGGTATGACGAGTCCGACGTGAATCATACTGCTAGCTTAACCTGATCTTTCATTGGAAAGCAACTCACAATCCCATTAGGATGTTGCCTACGTTGCATGTTTTTGCTCTAGGCTAATAACTGGCGATAGTGAGCTGAACACATTTGTTAGGCCTGGGAGAATATGGACCAATACTTTCCAAATGTCTGCATACGGTTTACTTTGAGACAGTGGTAACCGTGATTGCAGAAAGTTGACAATGCCGGTCGGATGCTGCGTCATGTCTGTTTTTAGCAGTTACTGCCAAATACCGTCTACCTAGAACGTCTACTGACATTTCCATCATTTTGGAATCTTTGCTAAAGCCTAGAGATGACACAATGAGCAATTCCAATTTTCTCGATACAGTGGCATACATTTAGTGCGCCCCCTGTAACACAAATTTTATGAAATTATAATATGAAACGAGAGACGTTTTGGTATTTATAATCATTCATTTTTTTAAAATTTGTATAATTTTAATTTAAATTATTTTAATGTTTATTAATGATGAACTAATAATTGCGATGTTAAAGTCAAAAATTAAAAAAAGTACTGAACTGGAACATTTTATTCACTTACCGACTTACCACATTGGAGCATCTTAAATATATAGAAAAATAATTCACTATCTTACAATAATTATATTCAAAGTTTAGTTAAGAATTATTTTTCTTTATAAAGTGAATTAAAAAAAAATTGTAAAAAGAAAACAAATTTTTTAATTGTAATTCTACGTATATGTGCGTCAGGGGTGCATAACAATTTTCAATGAAGGGTTGCATACCTATGTATTTAGACATATTGATGCAATTATAAATTTTTTAAACAGTGTTTCGGATGCAATTCTTTTTATTAGTCAACTAGTGAAATATTTGCATGAAATTAAATTCTTTTAAATATCTATAACTCATTTGTTTAGTATCTTAATTTTTGTCAATTCTTTTTTTCATTTTTTTTTCCAGTCAACTTAGTAAAATATTTGCACATAATACAAAAGTGTATTTTAGAATAAATTATTTGAAATGTTTCTTAATTAAGTTAAAAAAATAAATTTTTATTAAAAAACATAAATCTTTTAATTAAAGAAATTGTATATTGTTTAAAATGATTTGAAATAAAACAAACGCATTATATCTCAAAATAAGATTTAAGGTGCAGTTAGGATTCAATTTAGTATATTTTTAACTTAAGGATCTTTAAATTTAGTGAATGTTATATTTTAAAACCGTTTTTTAAGGAACAAAAAATTAGAAATAAAATTCAAAAATAGCAGTTTTGTATGCCTCATTAAAATTTCACGTTTTATAAGAAATTGTATTAAAAATATCAAGGTAAAAAAAATAGAAAAATTATCTGGATTGACGAACAAAAATTGGTTAAATGAAGCACGTCAAAGGTGATATTTAAAAAGACTGATTCGAAAGTCGCGAGTCGTTGTAGCACCGGATTAAAAATATAAGGTTTTATGAAACTTCGTGGTGAAGCGTAGAAAAAATTGTTGAAAGAACGATTAAAAAAAATCCTTAAATTTTCGTTAAAATCAGTACAAATAAAGCACCCGCTGAAAATGCCCGATTCGAGTGTCGTAAAAATATCGGGATTTTCAAAAACCATGTGGAAATGCGTATTGCCGAAAAAACGCAATACGCATATAGAGAAAAATAGCTTGGATAAATTTTAAACACGTCAAAAAGATCGAGATTTTTAAGAAACACATGGAAATCCGACACTAAAGCCTTCTAAAGCACGATCCGGTCACTTGGATTAAGTATGAAGTGGACACAAATAAAAAACCTCAAAAGTGAATACTAAAGCTCCAAATTCAAGCACCATAATTTTGTCCTACTAAATAGGATTACTAATATAGGATACGTCCTACTAATATAGGATTTTTAAAACTATGGAAATTTGTAGTGGTAGTACTAGTACTTCATTTACGTCGCACTAGAGCTGCACAATGGGCAATTGGCGACGGCCTGGGAATTGATTTGAAGATATGCCATCTCAATTTTGATTTTCAGCAGAGGGGATGGCATCCTCGCTTCGGTGGCCTGACGATCTGCACGCGAAGTTGAGCATTTTACTGTAGAACAGTTTCACGAGGACCCATATCGCACACCCTTGGTCCCTAAGCAGACTGATCGAAGTGGTCACCCACCCGCACAATGACCACAGTCAGTGATGCTTGACTTCGGTGATCTGCTGGGAACCGTGTCTTAACGATCAGTTCACTGCGGGACGGAAATTTGTAGTGATAACCATCGGAAAAAACGATCAAAAAACTGCGTTGATTTAGATTCGGCGCGTCCAAAACTTGAATGAGCAGTTAAACTTTTCTGATTTTTTCTGATTTTATTACTATTATTTTTATGTTCAGGTGCCACCGCGGGCCGCACGTCAAGAGCTGGCGGACTGTAGGTGTAATGTATATAGTGTATTATTTCTAGATAGTGCGCCACAATCCACGTGTTCTCCCGCAGCATGGGAGTTGCGGTTATGTTATTTACGACACTGCCTCGAATACTTCCATCTGAGTAAACCCACATTCCACCGATAATTTTACCACGTAAAAAAATCATCCACGTGAGTCCTCTGTGTCATAACTCTTTGGTTATGGCTTACTGAGCGTTTATGAACAATTTTATTTCCTCATCGAAATTCGTATGAGCTCCTGTTGTTGGTTGTAGGTCATTTACTTCGCACTAGAGCTTCACAATGGGCTATTGGCGACGGTCTGGGAAACATCCCTGAGGATGATCCGAAGACATGCCATCACAATTTTGATCCTCTGCAGAGGGGGTGGCACCCCTCGCTTCGGTAGCACGACGACCTGCACGCAAAGTCGAGCACTTTACGGTAGAACATTTTAACGAGGACCCATACAGCACACCCTCGCTCCTTACGCAGACTGGTCCAAGTGATTACCCACCCGCACACTGACCACAGCCAGTGATGCTTGATTTCGGTGATCTACTGGGAACCGTGTTTTAACAATCAGTTCACTGCGGCTGTTAGCGGCTCTTTTCTCATTCATTTTGAAATTTTATCTTTAAGGTGGCTCTTTCTGGTAATTGGAATGCAAATTGGAGAGAAAAGAAAACTAAGTATTTTGTATTTTAATTATTGTTCCTTCATCAATTTTTTTTACCCACAATTCCTTATATACCCCTTCTGGGGTTAAATGTTTACTTCAAAGTTCAATTTTCGTGTGATTTTTAATTTTCCTTTATTTATAAACACGGGAGTGTATTTTACAATTCTAACAACAATTAATAACTTCTCTGCTGAAAATAAATTCGTGAATGAAATTAATTTTTAAGAACGAACTAAATTATTTAAAACAATATTAAAGATGTTTGACTTGCCTTAACAAAAATGACCTACATCAATAATTACTGCAAAAATTTAATTTTTTTCTCTATACTAATCATAATCTGCAACGAGACGCAACTAAAAATAATTTGTTTAAGTAACTTAAAAAAATATTGTACTAAAAATATTTTGTTACCAAAAATGTCCCTGTCACTTAATTTAGTTTAGTCTTATTATTGTTATTAAAAAAGCGTTTTAGTATTATAGATATTCGCCGCAAAATATTTCATAAAAATTTTTTAAAAAAAATTCGAAAGAGAAGAAAAAAAATGTTTTAACATCCTCTAAAATTAATAAATGAAACTTAATTACTATACTTAATTACTCTTTACTAATTTAATTGGCCGAGATAGCCTGGTTGGTAGGGCACTGGACTCATGGTCGTGAGAACGGGGGTTCGAATCCTGCCGAACGAAGACTCTCCGTGTAGTAAATGGTTACTGGTGCACGTTAAATCTGTCAGGTCGCAAAGTCCTCCATATTCCATAACAAATTAAGCCTCTAGGGTACTGGATTGGAGATTAATCGTTCTCTGGTTCAGATCAAAATTGCCTGTGAGTGTGGCAGAAATTGAATTCTTGACCATAGATGGCACCACTGGAAAACAACAACAATCACATCCTCAGTGCCACAATGGCCTAGGACAGCAACAACAACTCATTTACTTATTTTTTAAAATTTGTTTACTTAAAAAAATTATAAATTTGGGATACACAACTAGAGGGATAGGTGGCGAGGCCTTTTAATTTATATTTTCTTAATATCTTCATCCCTTACTATATTTCATGTAAATTA